GCTACATCTACTAGCATATTTAGCTACATCTACTAGCATATTTAGCTGCATCTACTAGCATATTTAGCTACATCTAGCATATTTAGCTACATCTAGCATATTTAGCTATATCTAGCATATTTAGCTACATATTCTAGCTTATTTAGCTCCTTCACTGACTCGGTTCTTCTGACAGTGAAGCAATGAACAACCTGAAAAGCTCTGAGGTGTATCAGTGTCTCCACAGTAATAAGGTCAGTGGTGTTTTGTTGAAAGAGGTGGGACACAATCTTCTTGACCTTAAATCAGACACAGAGTCCAGACAAAGTCTTAAAGTCCTCCATCACTGAGCTTCTGTTCATTACAGAGAAAATCATAAACTGAAGATGAACAAATATATAAAGCTGTGACCTCCATACACCTGAAATCATCCCTGATGTTCTCGTCACTGTTTTCAATCCTCCTGAGGATCCGGTGTCTCTTCTCCGGTGGTTTATTGTCGTCCAGACACAAAGTAGGATGCAGGTTTTCCTCCGTCGGCCGTTTGTCAACAAAGTGAAATGAGCTCACATGCAGAGTTTTGGGTGGTCTCTTCAAGTTGTAGATGAACAGATGCAGAGATATATTCATCAATTAAAACGGATTCCTCATTTTTCTGGACTGAATAAAACGTGCATTGAATTTAATGAAATGCAAACGTGAGACGTCATTTATCTTTGACCCATCAAAATGAATGCGGCCATTTATTTACAGAATCAAAGTTTAACATCAAACATTTACATTAATTTGGCAAAATATGAAAATAACAACATAATCCATCAATCAGGAAAACCATACGGCCATGATTTTCCGTTGCTTCACCACAGACATTTATGAAAACTGTACAGTTATGATCAATTATCCACACGGCGGTGGATGAGCACTTTACACAGACATTTCTAAAATATCTGGAAGGATTTCTACTTTAGAGAAGAATTTAAAGATGGGAATGAAGTTAAAGGGAGTAAAAGATGGTATGTGAGGGGAAGTGCAGGTTAAGTTCACTACAAAGTTCACATTGTTCAGACACGTTCTTCTTAATTCTTCATCTGTAGGTGAGAGATGGAAAGTATAACTCTTTTCACAGGAACTCTTTTTGTTTTGGTCCGTGTTCAAACTGTTGTTGTAGACACTGATTTCCATTAACAAAAAGTAGTCCATTTGAAGTTTATTTTTGCAAGAATACTTTAAGTTAAGTATAAGTATAAGTATATCAAGTATACTACACACCATACTTGTAGTGTACTAGACGTATACTGATTTAATACTTGTTTGGACTAAACTGGGACATTTTTATACTATTTTTAAGTATATCAAATAAAGTTTATAAAAAGTAAACTTCAAGTACACTTCCTCATTTTTAGTGTAAAATAAGTATACTTGTAGTACACGTAAATAAACTACTTTTTGCTAAGGGTTAGTTTGTTCTGGTTGTTCTGCAGCCCTGAACACAACAGGTACCTGAACGCAGCACAGCTATTTTAGTAAACTTTATGACTGTTAAATAAATGTGAGCAAAAGAAAAACAGAGTTTGATTTGCTGAACTGAATGTAAATTACTTTCATATAAACCGCGGTCCGTGCTCCTCTACCATGGTGCTGACTGCTACTTCCTGTTTGACAGGAAGTTGTACCATAACCATTTATACAGTAGAGCCCCCAGGTGGATACTTTAAATAACATAATGTACAATGTTTGACCAGAACATGTTTTTTGTCCTCATAATGTATTTATTTTTATAAACTTTATGAGTGATACGCATCAGTTCAAAGAACGCTTGGTCTTCATTTCTGTTTTAATTTCATTCTTTACTGAACAGGAAGCAGAGACTTAAATGGTTCAAATATATTTTACATACACACAAGAATAAATACACGGACATGGGAATAAAAACCAGATGACTGATAGCCGGTGTTTTTCAGGTGGATGTAAAAATGGTTGCCATTCTTGGCTCCTGCTGGAGCTGAGGCTGGTTTTGAAGCAGTGAGTGAACTCGTCCCTCTCTCACTAAAGAGTCCAGCAGCCAAACATCTGCTCCTGATTTCAGTGTGGGCTGAAAGCTCCCTGCCCACTGCCATCCATGTCATAATCCCCATCTCACAGTTAAGCTGTGCCTTGTGCTGCTGTGACTATGTCTTTAACATGGTGAGCTGCTTTTATAAACCTTACAGAGAACCACAAACCTTAAATATATATAGTTTTAATAATAATCAATGTATTTAGTCTGTTTAATTCAAAGGCAATATGAGTTGTGTGCCAACTCCACATAAGGTGCATTAATTTGGGGAATAACATAACAACGTTTATGTGGAGATGATGGAGCATCTCATAAACACCTCAAAGGGAAATGATTTATTCCAAACAGGCTGATGAGTCAGCGTTCATAAAAATACTTTATTAGTTTATGCAAAATGGTAAAGTGTGGGGAGATATCAGCACACATGTTTGCTGCATTAGTGTCACAAAGGGATGTGATGCAGAGGCATTTTCATTTTTCTTTGCGGCGTTTAGTCTGCGGCTTGTTGCCGTTTCCTGGTGAAGTGGAGAATCAGACACTTCAAAGCAGCGACGAAACACCGTGACACTAAAACCTCTTCCTCTTATCTAAATCCAGGAATTCCTGTGGAAGACAGAGTGAACATTTTCATCAACAGCTTCGGCTCCATTCAAGAAACAACCATGGTGAGAGTTCAGTTTATTCTTCTCCCGATGCTCGGTAATCCAGGTCGATAAATCCAACAAGGTGGAGTCAGTTCCTCTGGACGGGGTCTTCTTTTGATGAAACGTTTCATGTTTTATCCAGAAGACGAGCTGCAACAAACTTCTTCAGAGCTCTGACAATCAGTCCATTCTTCTTGTAGCTCGACTCCACTGACAATCATCTGCAAACAACAGCGAAGGCTGGAACCTGCAGGAACTGTCGGCTTTAGGACATTTAGAGTGTTTCATACATCAGAACGTTTAGAGAGGACTCATTATGAAGACTGCACTGTTCATGCCTCATTGATCTGAAGCTGATCACGATGTGCCGGTGGAGTATTGATCACCGGACCAAACTACAGGAAGTCACAGGGACAACGTTGGATCTTTTAGAAAATAATGTAGAATGTTAGTTTTCTTTTAAAAAGCCCAAAACAATTGGACATTTATCCATCCATCCATCCATCTATCCATCCATCCACCCATCCATCCATTCAACCATTTATCCATCCATCCATCAATCCATCCATCCAAACATCCAAACATCTATCAGTCCATCCATCCATTCGTCCAGCTGTCCATCCATCCATCCATCCATCCATCCTTCTATCAATCTATCTATCCATCCATCCATTCATCCAGCTGTCCATCCATCCATCCATCCATCCATCCATCCATCCATCCATTCATCCCTCCATCTATCCTTCTATCTGTCCATCCATCCATTCGTCCATTTGTTCATTTGTCCATCCATCCATCGATACATACATCCATTCATCCACCATACATCCATCCACCATCCATCCATCAATCCATCCATCCATCCATACAAACATAAATGATCCATCCACCATACATCCATCATCCATCCATTCACCATCAACACATACATACATACATCCACAATCAATACACACATCCATTCATCCATACATCAGTCCATCCATCTATGCATCCATCCATCCATCTATCCATCCATCTATCCATCCATGCATCCATCCATCCATTCACCATGAACACATACATCCATACATACATACATCCACAATCAATACACACATCCATTCATCCATACATCAGTTCATCCATCCATACATCATACATCTATCAGTCCATCCATCCATTTGGCCATTCATCCATCCATCAATTTGTCCATCCATCCATCCATCCATCCATCCATCCATCCATCTGTACATTCATCCATCCGTCCACCATCCATCCATCCATCCATCCATGCATCCATTCCATCCATCCATACATCCATTATCTTTACCCGCTTATTCCATTTTGGGTCACAGGGGTTGCCAGTGCCCATGTCCAGCAATCACTGTGAGAGAGGTGGGGAACACCTGCACAGGTCTCCAATCCATCACAGGGACACCTGGACAGGTTTCCAGTCCATCACAGGGACATATAGAGACAAACAAGACCATTTAGGGTCACCAGTCTGCCTAACATGCATGTTTTTGGTCTGTGGGAGGAAACTGGAGTACCTGGAGAAAACCCATGCAGCACGGAGAGAACATGCAAACTCCACCCAGAAAGGCCCCCAGACCGGGATTTGAACCGGGGTAACCTGCTCGCTGAGAGGCAGCAGCTCTACCAACTGTGCCACCGTGCTGCTTGGAATTGTTCCATTAAACATAAAATAGTTTATTTCACCAGACAGTACATAATAAATGCTGCACAGTTTAAGAGTGTCCACAGTTTGAACCAATTATTTATTATATACTATCATATCTGGCAGGTTATAAACTACAGTTTTATTGCAAAAAGAAAAACAAACCACCTAAATGCATTGTACTAGAATAATACTAACATTTTTTAATCAGTCATGGATGCACTTTTCTGAGCTGTTTGTTCTAACATTTGCTTCCTGCATCCTCACCATCGTTTCTTGGAGACGGTTCATGGAGGAGGGAGGACAGACAGCTGGTCACCTCTTTTCCTCAATTTATCACTCGGAGGGCTGTGTGATCTCAGGAAACCCTCTCCAATCATTTACACCTCCTCAGACGACCGTCCAGCACACACCTACTACATCTATTTTCACTTTATGATTAAACGCCACACAGTTCAGTAAAAAGAAAGACTCATTTGATGTTGTAAGATGAAATAAATCTCAGCTACATTTTTACTGCTTCCCAGTTGGAGTTTTCCTTGTTGATTACAACACAAAGTTGTGTTAAATCTCCCTGGAATCGAACGCTGCTCTGGCAGCTTGATACTCAGCCAGCAGGAAGATATATTTCCTTGTCTGGTTTTCCGAGAGGCAAAGGTGT